CAGGGAACCCCTTTTTAAAAAAAAAAAAAAAAAAAAAAAAAACCAAAAAACAAACAAACAAAACCCACAAAGCAAGTCAAAGGACACAAGCACGTCTTCATGGGTCACTTCCTATTACCCTACTAATCTCCCATAGGCCAGCCCCCACCTCTACTGGTCCCCTTAGAAAGTTGTTGCTGAAGAGTCTCTACACAATGCTACACCATCAGAACACAGCTGCGGGGACAGTGCTGCTGAGAACCCCTCTCAAGCCTCTCTAGTCCCAGTCAGTACCCCCAGCTCCAAGTCACCCTCTCCCTGCTGGGCTCTCCCTAGAGCCAGTGGCCCTCTGGGACCTGCCCTTCCATTCTTGGGCTGGGAATGTGGGCAATGGGCTTTCCAAGAAAAGGGGGGATGAAAAGTTCCAGGGTTCCCTGCCTGCCAGCCCCCAAACAGCAAGGAGCTCCAACTGTGCCAGAACATCCTGACCCAGACCTCTTACAGACTGCCCACCTCAGCAGTCCTTCCAGAGCCCCTCAGACATGTGGGCAGGACAAAGGGGCTCCAGCACTGGCTGGTGGGTACACAGGGTCCTAGTATGTACAGTGATCACTAGCATGAGGGGGTTTCCGCCTGCCCTGGGCAGGAAGCTGTGAGTCCCTAGGGTGGCGGGAAAGCACCACACCCAGAATTTATCACCAAAGTCTTAGGGACCAGGCAGCAGTGCAGGGTGCCTGGCTACTGAGGTCAGGGAAAAGGTTCTTGTGGACCTTTTTGGCACTGGCTCATTCTGAGATCTCTCCAAGGTCAGATGGAGGGGACACACACCAGTCTCCCTTCCTTGCAGCACTGTAGCACCTTTCCTAGGCCACTGTCCCACCACAGCATGGCTCTGATTTACAAGTACTTGACCCACCCAGGGTTCAGAGACTTAAGAAGACTTGGCCATAGATTGCAGGCCTGGGAGAAGGGTGGAAGGCCACCCTCCCCTGTCCAGCCCCAGGGACAGCCTGTTGCTTCTCCTACCTGGTCTGCACAGCACCAGGTTTAGGCTCTGACAGAGTCCCCCCCCCTACAAGCCTGTGAGGTCTGGGGATACTGATTGAAATTCTCAGGGGACATCTGGTCTGGGCGATGGGGCAAAGGTAGTCAAAACAAGCATCCAGGACCAGCTTAATGTCCCATCTAAAGGTGGGGCTGTGTCATCAGGGTCCAAGTGTCCAAGGCAGAAGGGACAAGAGCTAGTGCAGAGCCACATGGGGGTTGGAACAGGTATGTCCCAGCTGCTGTACTGCTGAGGGAGACCGTGAGATTCACAGGCTGTGGTCTGTGCCTGTGAACCCTCAGGACCCCAGGCTTACCCACTGCCGTGAGCATGACTGTACGTATCCCAGCACCTGTTGTGCCTTCTCCATGTGGTGGAAGCCTGGGACAAGAGCAAAGTCCCAGATGCCACAATGGGGTAAGGGGCAGCTGGTGCAATCCTTCAGAGTCTCACCTCTGGCGGTGAAACTGAGTCACCAGGGGCTGGTCATAGGTCCTCCCAGGACACAGGACACTCAGGCAGGAGGACTGAGGTCATCCAGGGCTGAGACACCATCTCAAAAAATAAATAATAAGGCTGGAGAGATGGCTCAGTGGTTAAGAACACTGGCTGTTCTTGCAGAAGACCTGGGTTTGAATCCCAGCACCCACATGGCAGCTACCATCTGTCCGTAACTCCAGTTCCAGGGGATCCAAGAGCCTCTTCTGACCTCTGAGGGCATTGCATGACTCAGGTGCACTTACCTACATGTAGGCAATACATACATACACATAAAATAAAAATAATAAATAAGGGCTGGGTGGTGGCGCACGCGTTTAATCCCAGCACTCACGAAGCAGGCAGATCTCTGTGAGTTCAAGGCCAGCCTGGTCTCCACAGCAAATCCAGACCAGCCGGAGCTTCAGGGAGACCCTGTCTCAAAAAGAGCAAAAGAAAAAAATATATATATTATAAATAAATAAATAAAGCCTAGCATGATAGCTAAGCAGGTTAAGGCACTTTCCACAAACTTGGCAACCTGGGACCACATGATGGAAGGACAGAATCAATTCACAAAGCTGTCCTCTGACCTCCACATGCAGGCACCCACTCCAAATAAATAAATAAATAAATAAATAAGTAGAATAAAATTTAATTGAAAAATAATACCATTAGAGTCTCAGTAGATGTGGGTGGCTTATGGATGGCCCCACTGCAGGACCCTGACTTTTACAAGATAGGGGCTGGCACATAGCATCTTCAGGTGTGGTACCCAGAGTCATCCATACCTGCAGGCTGGTCTGACTGGGGCCCAAGAGTCATGATATTCAGCTTTGAGGGACACCACTCCAGGAAGCTACCAGGCTGCACCTGTCCTACTTTGCTTTTTGTTACTATGGCAAACACCATGACCAAAAGCAACTTGGGGAGAAAAAGAGTGATTTCATTTTACAGGTTATAGTCCATCCTTCAGGGCAGCCGGGGCAGGAGCTTAAAGCAGAGATGGCAGAGGCATGCTGATTTGTTCCCTTTAGCTTGCTCAGTTTTTTGGTTTGGTTTTTTTTTTTTTTTTTGTCTTTTTGAGACAGGGTCTCCCTGTAGCCCCAGCTGTCCTAGAACTCACTATGTAGACCAGACTGGCCTTGAACTCACAGAGATCCGCCTGCCTCTGCCTCCCAAGTGCTGGGATTAAAGGCATGCGCCACCACACCCAGCCTCAGCTACCTTTCTTATACAACCCAACCCACCTGCTGAGGGATGACACCCAACACACACACAGAGTAGACTAGGCCCACCTGCATCAATCAGCAGTGAAGAAAATGTTCCACAGACACGCCCACAGGCCAGTCTGATGGAGGAAGTTCCTCAGCTGAGGTTCCCTCCTCCCAGGTGTGTATCAAGTTAACCAAGATTATTCAGGAGCGGCCTAATCAGTCACCACAATGGTGCAGACCCCTAGGGACCCCTTGTAGTGCAGTGTCTTGGGCCTCCCCAGGATACCTGCACACACAAGGGATCACTCATTTAAAAACAGAAGGTCCTGGGGCTGGAGAGATGGCTCAGAGGTTAAGAACACTGGTTGTTCTTGCAGAAGACCCAGGTTTGAATCCCAGCACCCACATGGCAGCTAACAACTGTCTGAAACTCCAGTTCTAGGGGATCCAACAGTCTCTTCTCTCCTCCGTGAGCATTGCACGACACGGGTGCACTTACCCACACACAGGCAATACACGCATACACACAAAATAAAACATTAAAAAAAAACCAGAAGGTCCTCTCTTTAGCCTATGTCATTCATTCATCCACTCATTCACATGGCTTCACCTCCTGGCACAGATATAGTCATGGTATAACTCTGAGGGGGTTTCCAGGATGGCTTTGGTGGGTGGAGGCATGTATAAGACACCTGAGCCACCATTGGAGACTGAGGTAAAGAGAAAGAGGGGGAGCAGGGGACCACAAGGCACCTGTCCCTCAGATGGGACAGAGTCAGAGAGTGTAGTGACAGTGGGGGACCCAACATTGCCAAGTTCCTGTCCAGGCAACCAGGGGCAAGAAGAGTTGGGGGGTGTTCAGACATACCCTCAGGGCTCAGGACCACAGGGCCAATGTCCATCCTGCCAACAGGGAGCTAACATCCATTAAGATGGGCAGGGGTGGGCCAAAGGCTCAGTACATAAAAGCACTTGTGACCAAGCCTGATGACCTCAGTTCAATTCCTGGGCCCCACATGTTGGAGGGGGAGAAACAACTCCCTCATCTCGTCCTGACCTGGACCACACACAAATAAATGTGTGTGTGTGTGTGTGTGTGTGTGTGTGTGTATTTGTGGCAGGTACACTCTGACAGCAAGGGTCAGTTTTCCTCAGCTGTCAAAGGGAATGTGGTCTTGAGATTATCATGTAGTTCCACAGTCCCCAGCCCTTCCTGGGTAAGAAGCAACCATAGCAACCAATGTCCACAGCTTCCCTGGAGCTTCTCCTCAGTGTGAGACTGGGGTGGCCTTCCACCAAGCCTCTGGGGTGGGAGAAAGGTTTTGTGTCAGGGACAATGACACAGACTTGCTATAATCCTCTATATGGAAAAAAGCATCAAGAAATTAATACAAAGCCAAAAGCCTGGTGGAACATGCCCGGGATGGAGCAAAGGCTCAGTAGTTAAGAATACCTGCTGCTCATGAGAAAACCTGAGTTGAGTTCCTAGCACCCATGTAGGGCCACTCACAATCACCCATATGTAACTCCAGCTCCAGGGGACCTGACACCTCTGCCCTCTACAGGTACCTGCACACACGTGGCAGACACACACATTGGCACATACACATAAATAAAAATAAATTTGAGACAGGGTCTCACTAGGTGAGTGGAACTATGTAAACCAGGCTAGCCTCAAACTCAGAGATTTGCCTGCCCCTGCCTCCCAAGTAAATTCAACCTAAAAAATTTTGAAGGGGCGGGGGTTCAGAATCACTGGAAGAAACTTGAGAGCCAGCCTCACTTGACCAAGGAGTGTCTCACCTCAGTGAGTCCCAGGCTGAACCATGCATGCTTAGGCCAGCAGCTCTACTTCTGAGCCTTACCCAAATACAGGCATCCCTTGGAATCTATGAGGACAAAGGCTGGGACTGCACAGACACCAAAAGCCTCCTCCATCATACCACACCTGTGGGAACCCACTCACACGCCCCTTTTCCATCATCCATGGGCGATGATATGGTAGTATAACCAACACATCGTATGGCTGTCACAATGTCTGACCAATAATAAGCAATGAAAGGTCTTTGACATTCCCACCTGCTGGTTAGCTTTGATAGTGCTGGACAGTGCTATTCAGGCCACTGGGGAAGAAAAGACATCACTGGTCTCGCTCAGTGTGGTAAGCCATCTGCACGCTGCAATATCATCCTACCATACCAGGCATTGTGTGCCTATTGGTGTAATAGTGGCATGACCATTATTGGGGTGAACAGTGCTCTCTGATTGTATTTGAGGCCTGCTCCACAGGAGGGAACTCACACCTGGAACTGTAAACCTGGTCAAGTCTGTAGAGAGGCTACAGGCTCTGGTGGGTCAGGGAACTACTGTTGTTTTGCCAAATGGATATGTTGCCAAACTGCCATCTCAATATTTCTATTTATGCCAATAGATAATGTTATCCTCAGCCTCGGCCAGAGAAGTTGGTCTACATTGACCAGACTCCTAGCTGGTCAAGATGCTGAGATCGAGTGACTGTGAGTGTTTGGCCTGAAAGGGACACCTTTATCAACCATCACCCCAGGCTCAGGGAACATTCCAGAAGAAAGGGCAGAAAGAATGTAAGAGCTGTGAAAGGCTGTCTCCTGGACATGACATGACTGTGGTCAACTATACAAGATCTACATAGGGTCAAGTCAACAAGACCAGTTCACATGCCAAGAAGCAGCACTGGACTCAGTAGGGGGAGGGTATGAAGGAGAGGGAGATGTGTTGGGGGTGCCTGAGGGAGTGGGAGTAGTTAGGGTTTCACACTCATGGCCAAGAAACATTACATACATGTGTGAAACTGTCAGGAAGCTCTGCATGTGTGTGCCACAGAGCATTTCTTTAAACACTGTCCACCTGTAGTTGCTTGACTGTGGGTTCTGAAGTTGTGCTGTGGACAGACAGCTATTGGGGCGAGTGAGCTATATAATCAGGGAGGCAGGAAGGGTCTTGGTATGTTTGTTAAGGTGTCCTGGCTAGAAGACTTCTGCAGTGCAGCATGGAGTCATACCCTTAGGCAGGCGCAGCACTCAGGGCCCCATTCACAGATGCCAATTTACATACCTGAGTGGAGAGGACATGGTGGGAGGACAGAGGAGACTGGACAGAGCACCACCCCAGAGGAGACCAGGGTGACCTGTCTCTGCCTCCTCCACTGCTTTCTTGAAAAGATGGCCAGTGAGAAAAGTGGGAAAAGGAACTAGCTGCCCAGCCTGATGATCTGAGTTCAGTCCCTGGAGCCCCATGGTGGGAGGAGAGAACTTCTGAGTTCTCCATGCAAGCCAATGGCACATGTATGTGCATGTGCACACATAAACACACAGAGGTGGCCAGGAGCCCTCCCAGGCTTGGGACATCTAGGCTCTCCTCAAGAACTGCCTGGAAGGGGCAGGGCAGCACACATGGCTGACAGCACCTGTGGACTTGTCTGTGCAGCTGGCAGCCTGGTCTGAGCAAGCTCTGGTTCCCTAGGGACAGGCCCACTTTGTCCCTTCTGGCTGAGGAGGAGTCCCTCCCATGAATCTGCACCCCCAGGCTGTGCCACCCTAGGGCACTCAAAATCCCATCCTGCAGAGGTGAAGCACAGCTCTGACCACCGAAGGTAGACAGGAGGAGGGAGTCCAGTCTGGGCTCTGACTAAGGTTCCCTCTAGCAAGCACTGGCACCAGCATCAGCAAGAGGGCACAACCCATTATTCAGAGCAGCACTAGACAGTGGGCGACCTCATGGCAGGGCCACAGCCCCCAGAGTCGGTCTGAACCTCCAGACGGCCACTCAAGTCACAGTGGCCGGCCAGTGAGTCATCAGAGTCGGTGCGTCAGCAACTCTGGCCTGGGCAGTCTCAGGAGGCTACTTACCGCCCACCCTG